AGAAGAACAGAACCTCTTGCAACCGGAAGAAACAAAAATGCCAAGCAAAGTAATCCAATCATACCAAAGCGAAGTCCAGACAATTCCAACATGAAAAGACTGAAAGTTCAAGGACACCAGGAAGTCAGCAAATATTATTGATCCTCATAAGTGAAAGAACAAGAAAGCTTATGAATTGCTAACACTAACCTCTTGAAGAATCGAAAAGGTAACATGCTACATGTTTAATGATAACAACCTACTGAAATTGTAGTGCTAGACCAGCAGAAGATTAACAAATAAATAAAAGAAAATTATGAGAACAAGAAATATTGAACAGTATCTCAAAACATATTCAAGTAGAGCTGCGGAGCAGAACATGTGTACGAACAGAGAATATCCATTACAGAGAAAAAAAATTCAGACATGTGAATGCGTAAGAATCTACGGTAGGACCAGTACAATGATAAGGCCAATGGATGTGAGAATCAAATTACTGGTTGAACTTGAAAAATATTGAACTACAAACTTTAACAGGGCTGAAGCTTCAAGCTTTCAAATTCCAATCAGACCAAATTTTGAACTGGACTTGTATAGAAATTAACTAAACCAAGTTCCAATTATTATATTTTATTTCTTCTAACATTTTTCATTATTTAAATTTGCAAACAATCAATTCAGATTGAATCCAGGTCATGCTTTAGCCAGTAAGAACAAAGTTAAAGTAGTCCTCATATGCAGTTTCGATTAAAAACAAAAGTAGGAGTCTTAAACAAGCAGTAGAAAAGAATTGATGGAGAACCATTCTAAAATGAGTGTAACCAGAATTAGTGGCTGACAGTATTTAGAGTAAAAAGAAAAAAAAAAAGATAAAGGAAAAGCGAAAAGCGAAAAGGAGAGCATTCATGAATTGGCAAAACCTATCGACTTCAACAAACTAAAGTTACAATAACCAATTGATTTCTAATAAAAGTAAAGTTTAACAACTAAAATCAATAAATGGGGCAATAGAATTGATCTATGAAAGATAAGATATGGTACCTTTTCTCTTTAGAAGGAATCTGGAACTTGGATAGGAGACTGATATTAGTCATGGTGTAAGCATAAACAGCCCAAATTACGAACACAACAAACAGGACAATCCCAACAAACTCAGCTGCAGATACAACTCCAAATGGTCCATCCACAAGCATAGGAAATGTCCACAACCGAAATCGCGGGTATTTTGAAGTCTTCTTCCTAAACATAAGTTCTATGTTACAAAATAACACATACAACAGACAAATATTCACTATCACAGAATCGCATACCTTGGGAGATCCTCTTCCCCAGAGATAATAAGATGCACAATGGAAAGAAAAGCAATAACAAGGACTGGTCCACTGAATGCCAAAAATATACTTCCTGCAATATTACAAAGTATCAAACTTGAGACGACTAACAAGACAACAGTAACAAAGATGAATTATAGAGAGCCAAAAGTTTGAATTTTCCAACCTGTAACACCGAAAACAGTTCCAGTGGTGGCTTGAATCCATTTCTCAAACAGTTGGGTACCAAATTCTGATGGGTACACAAAAATGAGAGCAATCCAAGCAACAAAAAGCACCCACATTAAAAACTTGAGAACCCATTTGACTGATGATACAAACAGAGACGTCTTCTTCACATAAAGAGCCTCAAGACCTTCATTTTGAAGAAGAGGTTCATCCATGGCAACAAAATCACTTCTTTTTTCTTTTTCAGAGTTTCTCTGGTGTGCAGTGAGCTGATGAGTGAACCCAGAAGGCCAAAGCTACATAAATACAAGTAAAGATGGGAAAAATTCCAAACTTTGTGGAACCCCAGTCCCATAAAAACCAAGTATATTAAGGATTTGTCGTTTTATACATGAAAAGAATTTGGAATTAAGGATAACTAAAACAAAGCCACACAAAAAAAGGGGGAGCAGTGTCCACTGATTGCTTAAAAAATCTGATGAGAAATGAATTCCCACCAGAATTAACAAATTACAAGTGTGGACAAATGAAACTTGCAGCCCTCTGAGTTTTGGTGATGGTACTAGTAACAGAACTGTTACTTGTAAGGAATCTTGGAATGAGTGGTGGCTTTGATTCCAAGTAATACAAAGAATTAAAAAGAAAAAAAAAACATAAAACATAAGGTGGTTGTGACTTGTCAATTGTCAAATGTAAATTATTGAGGGAGAGAAGGTCCACTAAATCTGTACCTTAATCATAAATAACCAGAAATGAAGCTTTCCATTACTCATCTCATATCATTAGTAATTTCCCATTCAATGGCAATTGGGAGGTAGCCCCTTACAAACCTTGAATCATGCCAAGAAACTATTAAAAATCATAATGTAATGCCTTCAACTTTAACTTCTTTTTAAAGCAAGAATTTTGCACGAGGAGATTATTATAATACAAACTGACAATTTTATTTCCTTCAGTAACTTTAATCATGGTCTACACATTTCAAAGTTGAAAAAGAGCCCCTATTGTGTATGAACACAATTCTCTTAATTTCGCATTTCAAGTTGAGAAGCAGGCTTCTGCAATTAATCATTATATTAACATTATTTTAAGTCCTTTATTTTTAACCCCTGTTTGTAGCCTACTGGAACTAGTTATTAAATGTTACTTTAGTACAAACTCAACATCTCGTAATTATTGAGAAGAAACCACAAATCAAGCACAGTTAAACTGTTGAAGATTTTTTAGGTTTGATTATTTCTCAGTAATTATCTATCATTAAGTTGCTGATTGTAACTGCTTATTCTCTCTTTATGTTAGGCTATCAAAATCAAGTCAATTGTTATTCTAAACAGTCTTTGACACTTTGAATGAGAATCAAAGTATGCTACTCAATACAAAGCTTTTGATTCTCCCTGTTTTAACACCATTGAATTGATGAAAAAGATAAATCTCGCACAGATAATATAAAATATGTGAAGTAACAAAATCACAACTCTATATATATTATATTGATTCTTTGGTCAAACAAACCTTATAAATTGTTACATTATTCGAACTTTCAATTCTTATCATAAGATTGATCCAATGGATGAGAGTCATTTATGGTCAAATCTGTTTTACTAATAAAAGTATTAAGAGAGTCCAATAATACAGTGAATGCAACGATTTCTCTCTTCTAATTTGATTACATGTTTTTTCAATCATGAAGTTGAGAATGCAGAAAACACGTTTACTAAATACCCATGTGGTTTTTAATTTAGCTCATATTTAGGGGAAGCTGGCTTAATAATTTGATTTCACTTTTAAGAAAATCCCCACGTTGCTTAATTGGTTATCATTAAAATAAACACAAAAGATTTTTGGATAGAGCTTGCACTTCAACATTAAGATTTTTGGTTCACCATGAACTTGAAGAAACTAGAGCAAAGTTTTGTATTTGTTGATTTACTGTTCGTCAAATTGTAAAATTTATTAAGAGTTAACCATATGTTCCTAACCCAAAAAATGGCCCATTGACAAATTTATACCCGCCCACTTTTAAAATACCTTTTCACTACTCAAATATTATGTTTTCCTATGGGTTGGGTGGGAAATATAGCGATTTAAGAAGAAAAAAAACCCCTCTTTTTTTTTTTCTTCTTAACCTCTTCCATTGCTGGCAATTGCCATCGATGTTGGGGAGTGCCGGTGACTAGAAAATAAATAAACAAATTACAAATATTATAAATAAACATTCTTCAATCGTCTTTGAACCCAACAAACACAAAAACCGAAGAATCAGACCTAATCAATCGATCAAAACTTGAAAACCCTAGGGTGGAGAAGTTTCAATCGCAGACGATTATTGAGCAAATGGAATCAAGAATGTTGGGCCTTTTGAAGAGGAAGATCCAGGGAGTCGATTGGTGGTGGCAAGGATGATTTCTAACACCGAATACGGCCGGAAGTCGGCTTGGAAGTTGAAAGGTAGCGCGGTGCATGATCGGTGATCGACAAACAAGGGACGATGATAGAGGTAAGGGTTTTCTAGAGTGGATCGTGGGGAGTGTGATGTTGGTGTCTGGGGGAATTTCTAGAAAAAAATCGATCGAAAATCCAGCTTGAAGAGTCGGCCGTGAGAATGGAGGTGGTGGTGGGAAATGGTGAGTGATGATGGCAAATGGAGGCTTGGGCTTTGTATAGGAGGTGATAAGGATTTTGTGGGTGGTCTCAGAAGTAATTTTGAACACTAGGATCGGCCCAAAAGAGGCAAAAATCGTGACTGTGGTGCTGCTAACGTGCGTCATCCTTTTCTTTTCTTCTTCTCAAACAACTAAATATTTGTTGACCATTCTGCCCTCAATAATAATGAACTTTTGACCATTTACCTTTTCTCATAATGAAAATTACTAACAAAATTGTGCTGGACGGATATGAATTTGTTAACAATAATGCTTGAGTTACCGATTAAACTACCGATTTGACATACTGAATTGAGTTAAATTTTGAGATTTGGGTAATTGGGCAGGTGGATCGATATGTGAAAATCGGTAGGCTGATCAGTAAGTGTAGTATTACTGATTTGTTAATGGTCATTTTTTGGGAACATGTGTTAACTCTATTTATTAATGATAAGACTGAATAAACATAATAGAAAAGGCAATAATTTTTTTCTACGAACGTCATTTTCTGAAAATCTTGATGACAAAATGGTGGGATCTGCTGATGGCCACATATTTGTATTGATGCATAAAGAAACCGATTGAGTTCACTCATTTAATTATATCATTCATAGAAGGATGCTATTCTCTGAAGGAATTAATCGACTGGTTTTTGCACTTAGTTTTTATGTTAGAATCACCTTTTTCATGATTAAAATTAATTAGAATTTGAAAGGTTTAGGCTTTGTATATAGCAGAGATTTAATATCAACTTATATGATAAACAACTTGTTTCAATATGCAGAAACTACAAAATATTATCTAATATCTCTGTTTCTGTGAACCAGGAATATGTATGAAGCATAACCAACAGTCAAATGGAAGATTGGATTGTAGATATATGATAAACAACTGGTTGTTGTAACTGCAGCTGCGTTTGCATCCTAAGTTTTTTCAATCAAATCAGAAGCAGTTGATACAATATAATATGAACTGGTGCTGATCATGATCATGATTAACCATTAGTTTGTTTGTTAATTTACAAACTGAAACTATGGCTGTGGAAATGAAAAATTGGACGATAATGTTTTGTTCTCATCAGATTCAATGACCTACATTCCTTAGCAACGCTTGATTCAAGAGCTGGAGGACCACATACTATAACTCCCACATCAACATGGCCCCATCGCTCACTTATGGATTCAAATATTTCTGCCACCATAATCACAAACATGTCAGTTTCAGCATTATTAACATAAAGATGCATGTAAAATTGTCTTTTAATTACTTGGCATCCTCTAATATATTCCGGAATTTAAAAAAATCAAAACATCTGCATAAGAGTAGCGAATTAATGTATGTTTATCCTATTCACTATGAAAACCTATAGAACATACGTATTGTCTTGTGATACTACGTCAGTAATACAATCGCCGTACCATACCATTAGGATCCCACATCGGGATCTCACACCCACCAAGTTTAGTACTTAAGCCTAGAGGCTATCCCACTTATCAAGCCGGTCTTTTAGATTGAGCTCTCTCTTGGGGTTGAGTACTAATATTGGTGTTTTCGTTGAGAGTTGAGCTGCGGAAATGGCTATTTATAGGCTAAATTAAGGTGCAACGTTCTCTTCTTAGAAGAAGGTGTTGCATCGAATAACTGATAGGTGAGTGAAGCCGCTCAAAGAGGGAAATGGCTACCGTCGGGTCAGTTTCGAAAAAGTGAAAGTCGTCGTAGACATCGGCTCTTGAAGGGGGGTGCAATGTTAGGATCCCACATTAGGATCTCACACCCCCCAAGTGTAACACTTAAGTCTAGAGGTTATCCCACCTATCAAGCCGGTTTTTTGGATTGGGCTCTCCCTTGGGCTTAAGTACTAACACATACCATAGATTTTCTCCTATCTCTTTTCTCAAAAATAACTGAAGAGTAATAAATGGTAGATGCAGAAAATGTACCTTGGAGATCTGGTCTTGAACCATACCGAATTGTTGTTGAAGTATATAGATCTTGACTTAAACAATCCTTATCTGCTGTAGGATGTTCTATTTCATTATGTTCTATTATATGATGATCCTCACCATTCATTTTCCTTTCTGAGAGATGCCATATCCCAACGACAAGTCCTCCAAAGATTAAAACACTGACAACCATACATATTACAAAGAGAAGGCCATGGTACCAACCCAAACTTAAGTCTTTAGGGTTTATGTAAAACACATTCAACAAATACACCACAGCAATGAAGCCAAGTGTAGTTGAGATTAGATATATCCCAAACCATATATTATTATTTCCTGTACCAACCAGAACAGACATGGTTTTTCCTTTGTAGACAGGGCTAACAAAAGAGTTTGTGGCTTTGAATTCAACTAGTCTACCCTCCTCTTCATCCTGCAGTTAACAGCAAAAAAAATTAACCAATGTTATAAGTCCACCATTATTGTTACGAGTCCATCGTTGTAATTTTATAAAATTCAACGATAAACTTATAAAAAGACACTGATATCATAATTGTATTGTAAATGGACTGATAATGAAAGTAGTGGACCTACCAATGGAGGTTGAGATTGCTGGGTGACATATATTAGGATATCAAGATTTACTTCAATATTGGAGAAGTTCCTGTTGATCAGGGAAAGAAGAGATAGGTGGTTTGATGTTTTCACTGCCCAGACAATTAATATATTTTTCACTAGACAAGGTTTCCCTTGCCTTTTTCGATGAAAAATATCACTCAATACAGCCAGAAATGGTGAAATCCCAATGCCACCTGCTACTAACACAAGCTTTTCATACCTAAAACAACAAAATCAATTACCAAGTCAGTCCAAATTAATATTTCAATATAATTAAGTTGGTCTAATTACAGATAATTAATGACTTACATTAAGTGGTGTGGTAATTCATGTCCATAAGGCCCCTCAACAGAAGCTGTTATCATCCTAAAAGGAGATTGGAGATTTATTCCGTCTTGATATAATTCAATTACCGCAGAAACATTTGAGATATTTTCTTCTATATTTTGTGTCCACTCACCAAAAGTCTTTATCAAAATAGAAAACTGATGTTCACCAGTACCACTGACAGATGAAACACTGAAAGGATGCCATTGCAGCAATGATGCTTCTCGAACTTGAAGGAATATAAAACTAAGGGCGTCGCAGTGAAGACCTGCAGAAAAAAAATTAACCTAGTTAATTCACTTATATTATATATAATATATAGTTGGACTCTTATGCAAAGTATCATATTTTTTCAAAATAAAAACCTCATTAATTAGTGTTGAATAATGATTTACCAAATTTTCATCAAAGATAATAAAATTTTATCGTTAGCGTTAACTGTCAACCACAAAGATAATAAAGTCATTGTCAAGATTTAAAAAATGGATGGACATCCAAATCAGAAAATGACACTGCACATGCATATGTATACAGATAATACAAAAGCCCTGGAAGTAATTACTTTGAGGTTTAGAAAGGACCAGTTCTACAATTCCACCGGGAAAGCATGTGGCTGAAACTATATCAACAGTCTTTCGAGATTGGCAAAATCTCAGAAATCGATCAAGCATATAGAGGAATATAGTTCCAGCAACTATGCTGAAAAAGATTACACCAACATGCAAAGCCAAGAAGATGACAAATATTATGTAGAGTTGGTGTGTGTAAAAAAAGACTTCGAAGTATTTTGTCCTCACGAATGGAAGTGAAGTGATCCACATCAACAAACCAGCTGTGAGGCCAATAACACCTGCAAGATTGGCTGTATCACTTTCCTGCCACTCTAACATCTGCAAATTGTACATAAAAGTTAGCTTTAAATACACATCTCACTCGTGATTATATTAATTGAAGTTAGATATAATTTGTCAAACCGTATATAGTTGATGTGATACGCTTGTCTCACATAATTATACAATGAATAGACACTTGTGAACTAATTATGGGGTAACATACATATTATATATAATATTGATGTAACAAATAATTACGACGTAAAAGTTTTTAAATCAATAACAAAAGATCCTTATAAGATTTAAAATAGGAATATAGAATATGTTATTCATCTATTTCAATCCAACGGTTAATTGAGAAAACTTGAAATATCTTAATGAATGTTAATAATTTGTTATGTGTATATATACATTACCCCAAATTATTTTTCAAGCAAACAATAAATATTAATTCTGAAAGAGAATAAATTGAAGGATGACTCACTTTTTTAAGAAGATCTCCTTGTAGTGACCATTCAATTACATAACAGAGTCCATGGAGAGTGAAGAAGAGCATAGTGAGATGTCCCAGCCATACATGATATCTTGCAGCATGTCCAAAAGGTATATCAATGAGACGAAGAAGAATCGACCCTCTCGCTATTGGAATAAACAGAAATGCCAACAAGATTATCCCAATCTGCGCCAAAGAAAATCCCCAGATATCCAAAATGTAACAACTGGCCACGTCCCAATCACAGCAAACAAGTTAGTCATGCAGTCATAAATAAAGGAATTAAATTATATTTACTGGGATAACGTTACTCTCCATCCAAACCATTAGTTTATGATATTCAATCAATCTTTGGATTATGATCCAAAGGTTTAGGTTACGTACATTTTTTGTGTGGTTGTTGTGAATGGGGACTCATCTTTAACGGAGCTAAGATTCTGAATGGCATAAATATAAATACACCAAACAAGGTATACAGCAAAGAGGAGAATTCCAATAAACTCAGCCGCAGAAACAACACCAAGAGGTCCATCCACAAGAAGAGGAAATGTGCATAACCGGTAACTTGGAGCCTTCTTCCTGCAAACAAAAATTAATTGTATATTCATAAAATTATATACAATTATTCAATCTCTCCTACAAACATTCTCATTTTTTCAATATCCGTACCTCAACTCTTACTTGTGAGAGTTAAGCTCATTCATACATGGGGTAACTTTGACAAGTAAGATTTTTGTTTTTTAACGAGAGAAACAACAAAATCTTACGTGTGATCATAAGTTAACTCTTGTTAGCAAGAATTCAGGTCCAGACTTTAAGTCTATACTTGAGAATTTTTGTATATATAATTAAGAAGTACCCATTTACAGAACATACTCTTGGACTTTCTGATCCTTCCCAGAAATGATAAGATATGGTATCGAGAAAAATGCAATAAGAAGAATGGGGCCGCTGAATAATAAGAACACAGGTCCTACAAAATAAGTTTAAGATATTAATAAGAAAACAAATATAATTAAAATTAAGAATATAATTGAATAGAAGAATAACTATTACCTTCAAGCCCAAGAAAAGTTCCGGAGGAGAAAGAGGTGGCACTCAAAATAAATTCATACGTCAAGTTGAGTGGGAACAGAAAGGCAAGAACGACCCAAGTAATGAAAATAAGCCACGTTACTATCGTGAGAATCCATTTGAGTGAAGATAAAAAGAAACACTTCTTCTCGAGATTAACACTTGGAAGAACAAGAAGAAGTTGTTCTTGAGCTGAATGTTCATCCATGGAAAACCTCTAGCTAGCTTCTATAATATGCATTCATCATGACCATTACAAAGAATATTTATACTGCAAAATTTAATGCATGCATGGTGAAATTTTTTTTACTTTATTGAAGAAGAAACCTGTCCACAACTTGATGTGACTGCAACCTAACTTTCATGAGATCGATAGTTTAACTTACTAGTCCAATCATGGTGGAATATCAAATTTAATTTCTATACGTATGGCTTGTATGTGTAATGAGACTTCATATATAGAGTAAACTAGATGTTCCCACCCAAAGTTTAGCGAAACCCCTTGGTACCCTTGATTTCGTAAATTTCACATTCCCACCCTTAAATGGACGTCGTTAGTGATGGATGGGTTCTGACACAGGGGCAAAGGGCTCTTTTACCAAACTGCCCTTACACCTCCTTCTTCATCATCTCCCCTGCCACCATCACACGAACCCCTGTCCTCTTCTCAACAAAACACACCCCACCACCAGCCGTCCCCACCCACCATTTGCTGTCCACGATCTACTCCAGGGGCCGCACGACAGTCGTACTTTGCGACGTTTCCCTCTACAAGTCGTCAGTTTTTTCCCTCCGCACGACAGGGGCAGTCGTGCGTAGATGTGGTTGGGTGGGTGAGGTTTTTTGTCGAATAAGTGGGGGGCGGCTTGGGAAGGCAGCTGGGTCAAGGTGGTGGATATGGTTGACAAACAACACACAATCAAACTCCCACAAACTTCCACAATCAACACACTTCCACAAACTACACACACACAATCAACAAACTCCAACAAATCAACAAGCAATCAAACTCCCACAAGCACTCCCGTAACACAAAACTCCAACCAATGGCGGCAGGGACTCGCGCGATTGAACGTGCAATCGACCACGGCAAGGCGAAGGGGTAGTGGAGATGGATTTGTGATTCGTGCATCCATCCCTCCCGTTTCGAGACCAGACACCGCCTAGCCAGGAGAGCCCAGCCGTGATGGCGGCAATCTCGGTTGGGATCTCCTGGCCAGCGGTGGTAGAGGGTGTTGACGATGCAGCTGGAACTCAGCGCCACCACTTGTCGCCGGCCAAAGAGAGGAAACATAAGAAGAGAAGGAAAGGGAAGGGAAGAGAAGAAGATGGGAGGCCTTGGTGAAGAAAGACTGTAGAGAGAGGGAGACAACGAGAGGAACAAAGAGAGAGAGAGCGCCACAGTGAATGAAATGACCATTTTAGCCTTAACGGTTTAAAAAATGAAACGGCATCCATTTAAGGGTGGGAATCTGAAATTTATGAAACAAGGGGTACCAATCGGGATTTGGCCAAACCTTGGGTGGGACATGTCGTCTACTGTTATATATATTTGTTCCATTTATATTGATCAGGGTTAATGTTAATTTCAACTTTGTATTAACCCTTAGAATACGATAAATCAACCTTTTAATCATAATCCAACGGTTCAAAAATAGGATAACGATACCCAATAACTGAAAAATATCTACTCTATCATCTATAATTAATCTTGTATCCAGGACTGAGTGTAAGTGTATGGTAGAGCAGACTAGCAGTATCCAAGCCTGCAATTTTTGAGCCAAGAGTTCAGACAATTGCCCATTATGTCAGTCTCTTCGACGTCAATTCTAAATTAAATGTGTAGAAATTGATGTTTTCACCAACTAACCATAAAGAAAATGTACCTTATAATTTATATAGAGATAGTAATAAATTTCGTGCAGTCATTGTCATTAAAATGCAACAAACTAATTCCCTGGTTCATATTTTCTTTGGATAAGGAAGCATTACAATCGTACCAGCTGATGTTGAAGATGACACATAGAATTAATTCTCTGCATTATTGTTGCCGAAATGAAATGCACCTTTCATACATATCCATTCATTAACTAATTGGTAAAGGTGAACGATTGCATTACGCCACATTAATTTCTATACAATTTCATCAATATTCAATCAATCTTGTTAATCTTATATTAATTTAAATAGTTAAAAATTAATCAACGAAACAAACTAAACAAATTAAAGAAGATGAACTTTATAAAAAAGCAAATTAAAATCATTGTAAATTAAATTTACCAATTACTTAGAAGAAGGAAGATGAGCTTTATATGTATTATAATGATGGAGAGACGCAATAAATTGCATTGTATTAGTTTAATATCTAATTCTAATATCCATTTTAGACAATAATATTTTCTAAATTCTAATATCTAATTTTATACACATAAGTCTTCCTACATATCTAACAAGTTACTAATGTTATATCTAACAAGTCTTACTATAAATTATAATTAATTTGTAAATTCCATAATAGATTTTTGTTGACTATTTATAATGTAATGAAGTAATGTATAAAATAATCATTGAATTGTAAAATAATAATAATAATAATAAAGATAAAAAATTGTATCACATTTTTAAGTCCAAAAATTAAGTTGATATAACTTGACCTCATTCATAGTAAAACGTCAATGGTATGCCGTAATTGTTTCCTTAATCTTCATAATTAGCAAATTGAATTGGGTTAATTAGCCTAAGTGCTTAATGTTAAAGCATTTAATTAATCTTCGTAATGCTACGGACACCGACGTTTTACACCGAAATGTTAAACCAAACGACGTATCACCTGAGTCAAATAAGCTACATAACACGTTAAGTAATATTTCGTAAATGAACGGTCATTCTTTTGAAATGAACTCCAGTCCATATTATATGGACAAGAGTCTATTTACTATGAACGAGAGTTCACCTATAATGACGCTCGTCCAGAGTTTAAATTAAAAAAATTAATAAAAAAATAATAGATGTCTGTCCATATATTATGGATGGGCGTAGGGCGTCCCTACTTAATGGATATACGTCCTGTTAGATGGACACCCATCTACTGTTTCAATTTAAAAAAAAAATTACAAACAAAAGTAATCTCATTCTTTTAGCCAAAGTCTATTAACATTCATGACACCTATTTAGAGAGAAAGAGGGCGGGATTGGCAGTTGTTGCAGATGACTAGGAAGAAGAAGAGAGCCCAGACCTATACAACTACAGAAAGTGCTGCTCCTTTTCCTTTTCCCTCGTCCAGAAACTATGATAGCCGACCTAAGCGGAACCAATCAACACAATGATCGGTCTAAAAATGGTCAAGGCCCTCCTTTTATCCCAACACACACGTACACCTATTTCTTTACTTTATTTTTTATTTGGGATGGTGGATCCCTTGGCTGCATTGATGTATGCATGACACTTGTTTTTTACTTTATTTTTTATTATAGATGGTGGACCCTTTGACTTTATTGATATAAGCAGTTCTAAGTGATAAACTTCTTTTTACTTAGTGTTTGTGTTTAAACGTAAATAGAAATAGGAGTTTAGATGAAGAAAATAAGAGGAACATTGCGGGAAAGAGAAGATTCTATTATAGAGTAGAGCCCTTATTTAATGGACATGCATCCATCTAAGAGAGACACCCATCTATTACTTTTGTTTTTAATTTTTTTTTTTAATTTAAACTATAAACGGACGTTCTTATAAATAGACTTTTGTCCAAAAGTAAGGACGTTCATCTATTTTAAATGAACGGTTATCTAATAAAAATAGACCGTCGTCTATATTTGATAGACAACCATTCATTCGTGAAATATTTCTTAACATACTACATGGTTCGTCTGACTCAGATGATATATTGTTCGGTTTAACATTTTGGTACAAAGTGTCGATGTCTGTAGCATTATTGTTAAACAAAAGTGCTTCTATCAAATATCATTGTCATTGTCATTTGATATGAGATTATCCTGAATTTTACTAGTCATTTTCAATTGAGATTAAAGTAATTAAGTATTTGATTAAAGTAATTAAGCATTTGATTATCTCTTGAGAATTTTCTTATATAAAAAATAATTTTATCGATAAAAAAGGAAAATATGTAAATCATTTAATTAAGTGTGTATTTTAACTTTTTTTTTACATGTTTAATATTAATAACTTACATTGGCTTTTTAATTAAAATAACACTAATATTTTGATATTTCAAAAAAAAAAAAAAAAAAAAATCTCTGTGAAGTTAATTATTTTGACCCCGTTGACCCCGCAGAGAATTCGGATAAGTGATGAACAGAGGATGAAGGATCTCCCGATGCACAAGAGTGAATAGGCATAAATCTGCACATGAAAAAATGGGCCTCCCCTGCAAGAGTCTACAACCTCGTCTGGCCAAGCCTAATTACATTGACGCAAGTGAAATTAGTCTTTCATTTGTATACCTATACCTTTTGTCCACCCCAAAGTTAAATTGGGCTTTTTTCAGCAAGGCCCAATTAAGCTTGGCCCTCAATTATTTTTCACTTAATCACTAATTCATTAGTCATTTAATTACATAATTTTTAAAAAAAAAAAAAAACAATGATTCACGAATAAATAAAATTACAATTTCAAATTTTACTATGAATATGAATTTAATATATTTCAGTATCTTTAGAAACTGAAAAACTTCTATAAACATCATCATAGATAGTTAACATGTCTCTGAGAAAATTAATCAACCCTAACTTTCCTTGTCCATGAATATCTTGGCCTTTCTATAAGCATTCTTCAAGTATCTCTTCAACTTAACCTTGTCAAACTTGACATTTTGGGTTTTGAGATATACATGCATGTGTTTCCAATTTCCTCTGGTAAACGCTTTTGGGTTCGTTAGCACTGTGTCATTAGCCCCATATCTTTCTGCCAAGCTACTTTCCTCTGCTTTAATCTTATACTCCAAATACTCCAATCCCAAAACCCTAGCTGGATTTCTGAAATACGTATCCGATAACCATTGTGTCCCAATTGGCACCACCTGCATTAACACAGAACCCGGACGAAGGAACAAGAAATTTGTCAATGCTGCACCATGCACCCCCAACATTGCATGGCTTGCATGAATTAGCTTGAATGATTCCACCAACGAAGTGTTTCGTGCTGGTTCGAAGATGGTTACATCAAACCCCACCTCATTTGCCGTCTTTATAACTTCTTCCAGGTTCATAATCATGCGGCCGACTTTAGCATTTCTATTCACTAAAACGAGCCTAGGCCGTTGGGACGATGGAATTTCATCAGGATCCTGGCTATAAGCATTTTGAAGGATGGCTTGGAAATCAAGAAGGGTTTTCGGGTGCGGTAGCAGTTTGGGATTTATGATCATAGGCCCGTGTGATATGAGCCCTACGATCACTGAAGGAAAGCAGTGGGTGAGGTTCTCATTGTCCATGTTGATGATCGGATGGCGACTGAAATGAGCAAGTAATTCTTCATACTTTCGGCTCCACCANGTTTGTATACATTTCAACTAATTTTTTTGGAATCATAAAACTACTGATCGGCAAAAACTATAATAACCACTCTTATTAATACTTGGAAGAACTTAAACTCAAAAACTCATGAAATGTCTTTTACTTTTTTATCATCAAGCCATCCAATAATCCTTAATCTCCACGCATATATACTATTCTTACTTACATTTAATTCAATTAAATGTAAACTTCTAATCAAACTACAGTAATATATATTTAAACTCCTTATTAATTTATGTTTAATCAAACTTACATATATATATTTCAAAGTAAAAATTACTCTGTATGCAGAAGTACTGTAGCTGAAAAGTTTACTCGGACATGAACATGACGCTTCATATGAAGGAATAGTTGTTCTTCCCTAAGAACGATCGTTCATTCACCTATCGTTGTAAAGCTATGGCTCCTTAATCAAAATCAAAAAACCGGTACCCCTATCACAACAAGGTAAGTTCTGTTGACGGACCACTTTTTTCCGGGAGAGGAATCGAGAAGATACTTCTTATTTGTAGTAAAAAAAAGCTTATGCACACATCGGGTTTATGAGATTCATTTGTCAACCTATATTTATTTATCAATTTTTTAATAAAGGGCTTTTTGATATTTATGAGAACTTTTTATAATTTTTCAAAAGTATTTAAAAAAATATAAAAAACAAAAAGATAAACTATATTTGGTTTGTTATGTTTCGATTAAAATAAACCAAGAACCAAAAACTATTTTTAGAAAAAAAAACAAAAAAATAAACGATAGTTACGATACTAAACCATACGGTTTTACATTTTTTTTTTATTCACCTTCATTTTTTATAATCAGAGTTTAATCAAAAGCTCAATATGCACACAAAACACTTGCTTAGAGAAACTGCTTCCCTGACCCTCCCCTGCCCTTTTAGATCGAATGATAGAACGAAATGCCACTTTTATTTTATTTTGTTATGCCTAAAAAATAGCATTGATGTCAGCACCAACCAATCAGAGTTCAAGAAGGCTTTGTGCCGTCCAGGAGTTGCCACGTCGCCCCAAGACAAAAGGGATACAACTATCACCAATCCAGCAGATTCAAGTTTTGTCTATGAGTGGATGAAGACCGCACACCTGTCCCAACTTTATCAAAATAAAGTTATAAGGATTAAGAAGTGGTCTCCACGTGTCAAGGCAATTTGCAGAAGCACTCATTGACCTCAAAGGAGTATAATAACACCTCTCTTCACGAAAAAGGAGGTTGGGCATATGAGAGCTAGATATAGATTTGAGCTTCATTATTTCTCTTCATCTTTGTATGTCTTATAGGCAATATCATATAAATACTCAGAGAATAATAAAATAACAGTGGATTTAGGATTTGTCTTAAGCATGCGAACCACTATAAAACCTCTATTGTCAGTGTATTATTTATGTTTCTGCAACATATATAACCTCAGCATCATATTCAAATCTCATGGATCCATCACGTGTAATTTCTAAGACTTTCTTAGAACTTTGCACGTGCGAGTCGTTGGTGTCTAAAATCAAATATCAACAGTTTGGTGGCCCATGCAGGTCTCAAACCTACGTCCAAGTTCTTCAATTGCGTGGTCAGATAGCATATCGCACACATCAGAGTTCTCCGCTCGAGTGGTCAGATCGCACGCATCAGAGTTCTCAGATCGCACGCGTCAGAGTTCTTAGATCTCATGATCATATCGCAGATCACATGCAATAGAGTTCTTCGCTTGCGTGGTCAAATCGCACGCATCAGAGTTCTTAGATCGCATGGTCAGATGGCAGATCACGCACATCAGAGTTCTCGAATTGCGTGGCTAGATCACAAATTGCACGCATTAGAGTTCTCCACTTGTGTGGCTAGATCGCACGCGTCAGAGTTCTCAGATGTCGTGGTCACATCGCAGATCGCAAGCATTAGAGTTCGTCGATCGCGTGGTCAGATAGCTAATTGCACGCTCAGATCGCTGATCTTTAGCTTCAGATAGTTGATCTTTAGCTCTCCGATCGCGTGGTCAGATCGCTGATCGCACGTTCAAATCTTTTTGATATTCAGCTTCAGATCGCGTGGCCAGATCGCACACGGTAGAGTTCTCAGATCGTGTGGTCAGATCGCAGATCGCAAGCATCAAAGTTCTCCGCTTGCGTGGTAAGATCGCATGCATCAGAGTTCTAAGATCGTGTGGTCAGATCGCAGGCATCAGAGTTCTCGGATAGTGTGGCCAGATTGTAAATTGTACGCATCAGAGTTCTCCGCTTGCGTGGTCAGATCACACGCGTCAGAGTTCTCATATCGCGTGGTCAGATCGTAGATTGTGAGTATCAAAGTTCTTCGATCGTGTGGTCAGATCGCTGATCGCACGCTCAGATCACTGATCTTCAGCTTCAGATAGCTGATCTTTAGCTCTCCGATTGTGTGGTCAGATCGCTAATCGCACGTTCAAATTGTTTTGATCTTTCAGATTGCGTGACCAGATCGTTGATCTTCAGCTTTCCAATCACGTGGTCAGATCGCTGATCGCACGTTCAGATCGTTTTGATCTTCAATTTCAGATCACTGATCTTTAGCTTCAGAGTGTGTCTAGATCGCTGATTGCATGCTCAGATCGCTGATCTTTAGCTTTCGATCGCTTGGTCAGATTGCTGATCTGTAGCTTTAGATCGTGTGACCAGATCGCTGATCGCACGCTTAGATCGTTTTGATCTTCAGATTCAGATCGCTGATCTTTAGCTTCCGACTGCGTGGTCAGATCGCTGAATGCACACTTAGATCGCGCATTCAAGATCGTCAAGATCACGCATTTAGGTCATTTAGGTAATGCTTCCAAGCGCTTAGATCGCTGATCTCGAGTTCTTAGATCAAACTCCGCGCTTTCTGATCGAGCTCCTTATGGCCTTTGATCAAGCTCATAAACTCTCTCGTCTACTTGAGATTGTTTGCATCAGATCGTTCAGATCACATGTCTCAGACTCTCAGGTCGAGCTCCTATCAAATCGCGATCAGCTCTTAGCTCTGATATTACGAACAGCCTCAGGTCGTGTTCTCAACTCTCAGATCGCGATCAGTTCTCAGTTCTCAAACTGCGACCAGTTGCCAGCATAAAAAAAAACGAGTAGAAAACTCAAAACAGCCTCGAAACAAGCTAAAATGGTGGATTTTGGCCCCGAAAATGGTCCCCACTAGGTTCCCAGTTGCCATGACGTAGAGTTTAGAATAAGCTTTTTGTGGATATCTTACACACTCCAAAACGCCTTGCTTGGTTTCCATATTGCTTGACATTTTCTTTGTTTTTGTTCATGTTTTATTTTTCTAACTTGTAATACTTTCAAAAGGGATGTGGCTCATTTGAAAATTTTATTATTGTCACTCTTTATGCTCTAATTCATTGTTGTAGGGTGAATTGAACAAACTCTTGGTAATAACACTGGCTGAAACAGCCCGGTAAGAGTGATGGACCTGATAGTGATGGCAATGGCCCATCAAACTCCGTGGTTTGTAAATAAACCCATTACAGCCCATGAACCCAAATCTATTTGATAATTCAAATAGTTAGGATCGCACGAGAAGATGAACAAGAACAACCCACGTAAGAAATCCAAGCATCCAGGAATAATGTGGTTGACGTTGACAAATTATCAATTAATCATGCACACACATACACCACTCTGCAATTTCTCATAGCTTTATGCAACAAGGATTTTATCCATAGATGAAATTTAAGGCAAGAATTTTGAGAAGTTTATGTTGGCTGTCAATTTATTTGTTTTTTTTTTTTTTTTTTTTTTTTTTTTTTTTTTTTTTTTTATCTTTGGATGTGTCTGGGTCAGTTTGCATGCACCTCAACTAATCCTCTGAAACCACTGGCCAGGTAAAAGCCTCAGTGATAACCCCTATTAGTGCTTAAGGGGACTTAAACTCAGGAACTTATAAAAAATCTCTTACTTGTTAAATAGGAAATTATCAATTTAGGTACAATATATTACTGAAATACTTGAAAAAAAAAAAAAAAAAACACAAATTTCAAATCTTTCAATAAGAGATTCTAAAGTTAATTGGCGCTGTGTAAGGTTAGATTTGACTTCAGATTAGCCCTATCCAATCGTGAAAGAACTGTTTGAGGCCAAATTTGACCTACCTTCTTAAGGATTTTTTTTTTTTTTTTTTTTTTTGGTACACCCAGTAATTACCAGTTGATAATGAAGTTGATTCAGATAAGGAAGTGTCATTTGCAGGACAAAGATCGGGGTCTAAAAAGGTTGAATTATGAGGTAAGGGAACAAAATTATCTGTAGGTTTGGAAAAAAGAAAAATATATTCATAAAAGAAAACATTCTGAGAGAGAAAAAATTATCTAGAATGAAGGTCTAATTGAACAAAACTTTTAGTACCAGATGGGAATAAAAAATAAAAACATTTCTTGGCTCTAAAATCAAATTTGGTTTTGTGAGCTTGTGAAGTTGAAGTAAAACACAAGCAGCCAAATATTTTTAAAGAATCACAGTGAGGTGATTTATGATATAAAAGCTCAAATGGTGATCTGTTTTGCAAGATATAAGAAGTCTATTGATGAGGTGAATAGCATGAAGTACTGCATAGTTCCAATACACTTTGGGCAAATTAGACTGAAATAGGAAGGACCTAGAAACATTCATGATGTGCTGGTGTTTTTCATTCCACCACACCATTTTGTTCAGGTGTCTCAACACAAGATGTTTGATGATAGGCTATTTTTGAGGCATAGAAATTAGGCATTACAAATTCAGCACCATTACCAGTACAAATGGTTTTTATTTTAGCTGAAAATTGAGTTTCTATAAGAGTAAAGGAAAACTGAACTATCTGCCTAACTTCAGATTTTTGTTTAAGCAAGTAAATCCGTGTAAATCTAGAATAGTCATCCATGATAGTTAAGAAAAATCGATGACCATGAACAGAACATATTGAATAGGGACCCCAAATATCAACATGAATCATATCAAAACATTTAGAAGTTTTGGAATGACTCATAGGAAAAGGTAACCTCGGTTGTTTAGCCAAATGACAAATGGTATAAGCTTTATTGTCATGAAATTTAAGGCCAGGAATACAAAGAGCTAAGTATTTCACTCTAGAATAAGATATATGGCCAAGTCTATAATGCCAAATATCAAATAAGGTAGTACTTGAAGCTAAAGAAATAGAAGAAGATTGTGAAAAATTGGCTACAGAAACAGGAGATTTTGTCAGTGCATATAGGCCATCATGCACTTTAGCTGAACCAATCGTTTTCCACAAAGTCAGATCCTGGATTAAACAACAAGAACGTTGGAAGATTAGGCAGTGATTCAATGAGGAGGTCAATTTTGTAACATATATCAAATTAAACGAAAAATCAGGAATATAGAGTACATCTGTCAGAACCAACTTGTTAGTGAGATTTACAACCCCAGAATATTGAGCAATGATTTTGGAACAATTCGGTAATGTGACTAAGATTGGTTTGATTTGTTTATAACTATCAAAGGAAGACAAAGAATGGGTAATGTAATCTGTTGCCCCTGTATCTACAATCCATAATGGAGATTTAGGATAGGTTAAAGCAAAATGGCAACCTGAAACTGAAGAAGAAAAATGAGAAGTAAGGTTGACTGAGGCTGAGAAACAACAACTTAGTTAGTCACATGGGATGATTACTCAGAATTGGATGACTAGAGCAAAGCAAGCAATTGGTGATATTGATCTTGAGTCAAAGAAACACCAGAACCTTCTTGATTCTTGACAGAAACATCAGATTGCATAGGAAGATATGTGATATTCTCTTCTGCAATTACATTATGAGCAGTGGGATTATGACTTTTGGACTTATAACTAGGTGGAAAACCATGCTTCTTATAGCAAGTTTCAACAATATGTCTCAGTTTGCCATAGAATGTGCAAAACCGATTATATCCATTGTTCTGTGACCTTGATGAATTAAACTTCCAAGTGTTTTGTGATTTGTTAGCTGGAGAATTCTCTTTGGCAGCTTTATGAACAAACACTCTGGCAACTTCCAAACTCATCTGCCTTTCTTGTTGCAAAACTAAAGAAAAGAATTTGTTGATTGAAGGAAGTGGATCCATGAGCATGATTTGAGATCTAACAACAAAAAATTGATCACTACGACCTTTGAGAAATCGAATGATATAATCACTGTTCTGATAATTCTTGAAAGTAGTCACTACCGCACAAGAGCAAGGTGTTGCACAAGTACATGTAGGAAGTGGCCTTAAGTTTTTCAACTCATCCCAAAGAATCTTTAATTCGGTAAAGTAATTAGTAACACTTCGATTCCCTTGTTTAAAGCTATAAATATCTTCTTGCAAATCTGAGATCCTAAAAATATCTTCTTGTGAAAACCGTTTTTGAAGATCATCCCATACATCATAAGCTTTATCAATCCATAAAATGCTACTATTAATGGATGATGAAAGAGAATGAGTGAGCCAAGAAAGTACCATAGTATTGCATCTTTCCCAGGTAGAGAACAAAGAATCGATGGTTGGAGGAGCTTTAATGGAGCCATCGATAAACTTCAACTTGTTTTTAGATAATAATACCATCTTCATAGATTGTGCCCAGGTATGATAATTGGGACCATCAAGAACGGGAGAAGTAAGTACAACAACAAAATTTTCATTAGGATGAAGATAAAAGGGATTAGATAGATCTTGTGCTAAATTGGAGGTCAAGGTCGCCACTGATGTAGCACAGAAAGTAGTAACAATGAAGAATAATTTTGGAAGAAAAGAACAAGTTTGTGTTTAGAGAAAGCAAAACTGCTCTGATACCATGATGAAACTAATTCAGAAATGAAAAATGATATTGAATTCATTGAATTGGGAATTAGAGTTACAACAGTGTATGTTTATTTTGTGCAATCATCTTATAACAGACTCAACAAACATTAACTAACTAAAAAACTAATTAACTAACTTCATAACAAACTACCGGCTAACTACTTTGAAAGCAGCTCATTCTTCAACATCCTTTGGGTTTTTAAGGGTATTCTTCTAGTCTGAAATTATAGAATACGGCTAAGATTATTTAATATAATTTTCCAAAAAAACAAATATCATAGTGGATAGAGTATTTAAAATATGTTGAGACAAAAGAAAAATTAAATTATAAAATGGAAACTATAGTACATTCACATGAACAATGTATTAATGTATTAAATATTTATGAATAAAAAAGTAAAATTTTAAAAACTCTCTAGGTGGATTGAGAAACTCCGGCTGATGGTAATGAAACCACTTAAAATAAAAATCTAAAAATCTAGGAATAGCAAATATTACGTTAATCATATGTATAATAAAAAATTAATAATATTTAAGAATAACATAATCAGCAAACCACCAATCACGTAAAAACAAACTGCCTGGAATATTTCGGAATTATTCTCGGAAATCACTGAAATGTTTAATCCAAGAATGTCCACCCCTAAGGACAACCCCGAACACCGCCGCCGCCTTATTTACCACATCATGCGAAGCATATGCACCATACAAATACGGATTATCCGAAGCATATGCACCATAAGAGGAGCAGGATGAGTATTGAAAGAATCAGTACCACGAGTATAAGGAACAGGATACGTATTGGAAGAATCAGCATCACGAGAACACAAATACGAAGGATATATGCAGGCAAAGAAGGGTACCAAAGATTCAAAGCAACTGGACCATAGAATACGGAGGACAACCTCTAGACGTTGACGCATCAGACGCTGATAAAAAACACTCGATATGAATATCAACACTACAACTCCCGCATCTGTATCACCAAGAACTACTACAATCATCTCCACAAACTGCGCACCTACTACACGAAGATGGTTGCAGCGTCAACGGGTGCAGGGGATGCAGTGCGGTGCGGTGCGTCGTGCATAACGGGTGCACGTCAAACTCAGACTCCTTGCACATATAGAAAAGCCCTTCAACGCCGTCGCGGCACACATCACAGATGCGGTCGATCTGGCGAGTGGATTCTGCCTTCCGGACGACAAGTTATAGTTGGTGTTGAGTGTGCGTGAAAGAGGAGAGGGTTATGGGCCAGGTTTGTTCATGCATGTCAAAATCGCACTCCTGGCATCGATATTTGGTGCCGATTCCAACAGTCTTGCATCCGCGGCACTGGAACTCTGTGGCGTTATTTGTCTTCTTTGGCAACGGAGACATGATTGATTAAAAATTGCAGAAAGAAAGGACTATCGATTCTACCAAAATCCCGGATTTTTTATTTTTTTTATTAAGGGCGTGATCACTGGCCCAATGGACCAATGAATGTACGAAGCCCATGGGCCAATGAATGTACGGACTAGACCATGGGCCAAAGAATGTACCTATCATTAGCCCATGGGCCAGTAGCAACACCATTTTATCCAAAGAAAATGACACATTCGGAAACCCAATCTGTCACAAACACTCTCACTTGCAGCTCCCCGAGAGATCGAAGTCATCGGATGCATGGCGTGCAGCATTAATATAACTCTCCGGTGCTCCACCGATACGCCGCGTTTTGGTGACACATGTCATCTCCAGTTTCAATCCCCAAACCCTCGCTCTCCTCTCCTCCTTAAACTCTTTCCCTCCTCTATCAGTCATCACCCCAAAAAGGTGATACAATTCAAACGCTCTCTCTCTGTTTCTGCCGTAATTGTTTCTTAGATTCATTTTAACCTGAATTGTGAACACAATTTTATTTAGATCTCGTATTCGTGTACTCGGCGCCGTAGCTTTGTTACTGTGAAGTCGCACATGGCCACGGAAGAGAAGCCGATTTCCGAGGATCGAATGCTTGTTTGTTCACTATACACTACTGTTCTCAAACTATTCTTGTCTTATTCTGCTATTTTCTTCTTCTCTTTTGAGAATTAAAAAGTGTCGTTTTTATGTTATGGAATTTCCAGGTATTTGTGCCACCGCATCCGTTGATTAAGCACTGGGTTTCAGTTTTGAGAAATGAACAAACTCCTTCTCCCATTTTCAGTGCGTATTTTTATTTTATTTTATATTTTTATTTCGTGTAATTAACCAGATAGTTGTCTTGTGACTTGTTTCAACTTGTTTATAATAATTAACTATTCTATTATTTGTTGTTATGTTAATATTCATATGACCTCTGTTTCATAGGGAATGCAATGGCTGAGTTGGGAAGGCTACTTATTTATGAAGCTTCTAGGGATTGGTTGGTAAGTTGGTATAGTTACGCATTATTCAGCTGTTATTTTTACCGTTCTATATTTTTATTTTCCTCATAAAGAATGGGTTTCTAATTGTTTATGTGATGCCATTTCTTATCAGTATTCATGTCTTGCATGCAAAATGCCAATCTCAGTTATATGTCATTGTTGGGAGCCAGAAAAATAAGTTAAATGGCTGTGTCAGAACTAAAGATTGTGAAAACAAATGTAGTTTTGCTTCCTTAGCAGAAACTTGTTTATACTTCTAAAGTTTCTTTGATATGCTTTTCTCATGTATATGTGTTTTCTGTCACTGTCAGCCTACTGTCACAGGGGAAATTCAGTCGCCTATGGGTGTTGCCTCAGTTGAATTTGTTGACCCAAGAGAGCCTGTAGCGGTCAGTATCTAGTGGCAATTTTAAAGTGCTTATTTTTTTTACTTTTTTATATGTTTGTACACTGCATTATACGTATTTATCTAGCTTGTGGTGGTTATAAACAACTACTTTATGATGATGCTTTTAGAAGTTCAGTCCTCTCTGTTTATATTTCTATAAACTAACCTGCTGTGATCGAAATGTAAAGTGATTCAGTTTATTTCATGGTCATGTAACACAAAATTGATAAGAGCTTTTTGCTGAGTGTCACTTATGCTTTCTTTTATTTTTGCAGGTTGTTCCAATTCTGAGAGCTGGTCTTGCTCTTGCTGAGCATGCAACATCAATCTTGCCTGCGACAAAAACATTCCATCTAGGTAAAGGAACATTCATTCTTGCAAAGTAGAAGGGGCACATTGGGGCTTGTCTTTGTTTAACAGTTAAGAGGGTCCAGCAATCTTTAAATATGGGCTGTCATTTGTAAAGTGTGGTTGAAGAAGTTGTATCCTGAGATCTGAAACTGTAAGCTTGTTGTTACGATGATCATCCAATCTCTTGCCACTCTTTTTCTTTTCTGAAAGTTTTAACACCTTTGGTTCTTGCAACTTTTCATTTTTTAAACTATTGTACAAGACTTGAGATGTCTTTTCATATTCTTTTATGTGGTTTGGCATCAATAGTTAATGGCTTTATTTTCTGTCTTGCTAACTAAGGTATAAGCAGAGATGAAGAGACACTTCAGCCGACAATATATCTGAATAAGTAAGGATTTGCTATTACAGAAATGGCGAATATTTACCAAGTGTATTTGTGTTAAACGGTTTTTAATATCTGTTAACAATAATCTATAAAATATTTCTTATTTTCATATGAATACAAATTTTTACAGTAGAAAACCTGTTAGGGCTTCAATTTCATGTTTTGTTTTTTCCTTGAGTTAACTTCTGTATTGGTGTTCGCTTTATTGTTGCCCTTAAACATTTTGTTGTATCTTTTGTAGGTTGCCAGAAAAGTTTCCGGAGGGCTCACGAGTTTTTGTAGTAGATCCTATGCTTGCAACAGGTGTTAAATTTATCCTACTAATGACTGGAAATTCTTGCATCACATTCAGCATATTTAAGCATATAGCTTTCTCTCTCTTGTTTCTTTGTTTTCTCTGAAGTTGAAAAATGCATGACGGTATCTGAGCAAAAGTTATCTTTAGATTTAATGTTACCCTTCCAAACTGGATATCAACTTCTTCTGACTAGTAAGCATACCCAAAGACATTGTTAAGTCATTGTTGTCGTCTAGGATTGTGTGGTATTTAGTGGTTTGTTTCCTCATTTTCTTAGTTTATTTCCTCAAATTAATACTTATGTTAATTAATTTCAGGTGGAACGATTGTGGCCTCTGTCAACCTGTTAAAAGAACGTGGAGTTGAAAACAAGCAAATTAGAGTGGTATATACTTACCTGACATCCTTCTGTGTATTTCTAATAAAGTTTATATACAGTTGTTATTACTAAATGATTAGGATGCATATGGCATGTGAGGAAGGTGTTTTATTGTAGAAATAATTTCGTGGATATTATTGCAACGTTATCAATACTGCATTCTATGATTTCTTCATAATTATAAGAAAAATGCTATCCTTACAAAGACCTATACAAAGTGGGTTACAAAGTGACATCATCCAGAAGAAAAAACAAAGAAAAAACGGAAAAAGAGAAAGAGAGAGAGAGAGAAATCATGAAAATCAAGGGTGAGGATTATCTTTGTATATCTCTTTTGTATGTGTCTTTGTAAAACTAACATTGCTCTAATTATAATGCTGCAAAGTAATTTATACAAGTTATACTGTTGCTTGCATCTTTGATTGCCAGTATAAAGTAGTGAATTGTTGATCAGACGGTTTTCGTGACTACTATTTGCTGTGATTTGGAAATTATTGTAGCTCTGCTACAAATCTTAATGTTCCTGCAAATTTTATTGAATAAAGTTAGTTGTCTAACGACTATTTTAAACATTGGCCTCCTGAGTCAAACTTATGTGCAAAAGCATTACAATCAACATATTGGTTGTCAATGCTCAGCTTATATAGATTTTGAAGCTCTGTTCAGTCTTCACTTCAACACACAATACAGAGTCCTATTTAGTTACACTTCTTCGTTCAGTTCACTACTTACAGATACTACTGTCTCACAGATATCTGCTGTGGCTGCTCCTCCAGCCCTTCAAAAGCTCAGTGAGAAGTTTCCTGGGTAATATAATATTCATATTCAAGTTTCATGTACTTGATTATTCCTAAAGCCTGACCCTTTTCTGTTGCTTGCTTTTGGTTTTTTCAGGCTTTATGTCTACACTGGAATCATCGATCCTACTGTCAATGACAAAGGGTTGGTATTTCTAATTATTCTCATGCATAATTAGCTTAGAATCTGGGTGTTGTTTTGCAGCTGTAATTTTTGTTTCACACCTATACTGAATGGTAAATTTCAGATTTATAGTACCTGGACTTGGAGATGCAGGAGATCGTAGCTTTGGTACATAAGAGATCATCTGAAGTGGCAGATAAAATTTATCACCCGATTGTGGGTGCATCCAATTCTTAATTCCTGGTTGTTATCCATTGCAATTTTGATTTATTGAGCCTTTGAACAATTCTGAAAACATTCTTGGGTTTTTACTTGCGTCCATTGGGTGACTGGCTTTATAGCTTTGCTTGCTTCAAAGCATGACCAGAAGCAGAACCTTCTGGATTGTGTAAATTAGTTGTAGAATTATTGGACAGAACTCCTGTTACCACTTCATATCTCAATTGTTTGGTAGAATGGTGGCCTATATGATCTTAAAATGCAACCTTTTTTTTTTTTTTTTTTTTTTTTTTAATAACTGAGGTATCCGTGCACAATTGTCAGTCGAGTTTGCCCAATCCTCAGGGGCCCACAGAACATCCTACAAGCCTAATTGACCAAGGTAAGAAATGCAAATTCAATTAGCTTGTACTTATATTTGCTTTACATGATAACTTAAGTCGTTGATTAAGAAACTAACTTGTTAGCCGGTATTTTGTAGTGATTAGTTTAGTGATTAATATGTTTGATCAATGTGTAAGCAAGCATTAGATTAATCTTTGGTATATTTGATAAATTATTTTTACTTTGTCATTTTAAAATTAGCTAGATATGTATCTTATGTTCCATAAAATATGACCAGTTTAATAAGTGTTTGAATGAATTGTCTACATAAAGGAAAAATCTTTATAGATAACTCACCCAAAGATTAAAAAAAAAAGAAAAAAAAAAGTACACACAATACTTTTAGGAATTTAATAACATGTAAATGCAACTATTCTTATTTCATTGGGTAGCCTAAGAAACAAAGTATTACATGATTCAATATGATAAAAATGGTATTAACAGGCACTTGCTCCTCTGGCGCCTCATCTCCTTCTTCCTCTGCCGTGATGTTCACCAGATAACCTGTTTTTTCTACCAGCAAACTTTCTCCCACCACGACGACGGCGGAAGAGGCAACATAAAAATGAAAATATACCCAACATTGAAGATCAAATTATGGGTACAACTAAGTAGATAGTTTGTTTTATATAGCAAGGCCTGTGCTGTAGTGTTTGATTTATTCAAACTAAGTGCAAGTGTACGCCTTTGCTTTTAAAACCCCAAAAAAGTTCTGGATACAAATTGATATTACACACCTCAGCGTTCTTATTGCTAATTGCAGCTACAAGTTTCCCATTTATAAGCCTTGACTTCTCTAAATATTTTCATTACGTGTGTGGATTGGTCAATAAATTCATCTCATGTTTGATTTGAACATTTCCTGTAAACTTCTATTTGTGGAAGCAATAATTAAAGAAAATGAAACCTAGATCATCTCTTTTATTTAATATCTTTTATTTATTTTTTAAAACACAAACTCTTCTTATTTAGGTTTATTTTTTATTTATTTTTAATAATCACTTTCAGATAAATTACTTTGCAGCGTGTTTAGAGCATAAATTCAGCCCACCACAACGATCAGTATTTACCGCCCGTTTCAGCATATCCATAATGCACCACCTGCAGGGCAGAAGTCATTCCTGTTGACTCGTAAATTTATTTAATTATTTGTAAATTAGTTTTAAAAGATTTCCTAAATGTTTATATTATACCATTTCATATTAGTATGCATCTCCGGGAGTAATTTGTAATTCTTGAAGAAGAGTAAGCTATGATCTTCGATCTGAACTATGAACTAGTTGAGGGTAATGCAGCGTTTGAATATCGTATACTTAATTACATTATTTAATGTGATGACTTAATTTTCTCTTTCTAGAGAATCAAAGATTTAACAAAACTATACAAAAAATTTGTCAAAATTCTAAACTTTCTTTGGCCCTTCCTGTTAATATTTCAACAACTAAATCAGTCATGATCGAAATGTTAATTTATTCAGCTATGGCATCGTCATGTAAAAATATGTAATGTGAAGCTGATGGAACAGAGCCTTGAGCCTTCTTTTGAGAGCCGTTTACTTATGCTTTATTTAATTTTACTGGTTCTTCCAATTTTGAGAGCCGGTCTTTCTCTTGTTGAGCCTGCTTCATCAATTCTTCCGGCAACAAAAATATTCCACCTATGTTATTTATTTTCATTTTTTTTTGGCTTTTGTGTTTGGTAGACAAATGTGTTTTATATCACAGCTTCCTTGAAAGATAAATCCAATTAGCTTGCATCCATAATTTTACATCGGTACTGAAGTTATATATATATATATATATATATATATATGTGTGTGTGTGTGTGTGTGTGTGTATATATATATATATATGTGTGTGTGTGTGTGTGTGTGTGTGTGTGTTAACAGGAATGTTGTGGTTTAAGCATGATTATGAAATTAGTGATGAAGCATCAAGGCATCAGAAGCCCCAACAGTTACACTTAAATGAGGAAGATATTATTTATGCAGTTTACATTTAACTTTCATGGTTTCTCATTTCATTTTACGAATAGTTTCTTGCATTACATCTCAGTTTCTTTAATCAAATACAGGCTTAACATAAATCTTTAGCTTGAACAAATTCAATCATGCCCACTTCAGGAATTCAACCATTATTGAGTATTGAGAAAGGGGAATCTTATTAAGCAAAATTTAGCTGTAAATTATATTTGACAAACAAAGAGCTGGTTGTTTACTGGCTAATTTATAATCTGGACTGGTGATACATGTGTACAAATTGCTAGATTTTCTTTGTTGATGCTTCTTTATTTTGAAACGTTTATATTTTGGGAAATTATCGATGAATTTTGATTTCCCTTGATTACCTGAAAAGGCAATAACTTTTTTTTGGAAAAAGGTAAATTTTATAAAAGAAGAAAAATTAAGCAGAGAAATAGGGACATACCTCTAAAAGAGATCTAGAGAAGAACAGAACAAATGTGTCCATCTTTTTAGACAAAAGAATGGAAACAACCATCCAAAAGAGAGCACGCATGCTCCAAACAAAGGAGGGCGATGGGCTCAAGCGCCCTAATGGAGCTCGCAAGCTCAAACCAAACAAAAAATGAAAAATGAGCACAAGCGTATTGACCAGAGCACATAGACTCAAAAAAGACCAGACCAATTAGTCAGGCAAGAAAAGGCAAGAAGTTACCGACCTGTGATGGGGATTTCCGACTCCTCTAAAGGAAAAAAAAAATTAGCCTTAATTTTTTGTTCTTTGACTCTGGTTAAATTTAATTTAAGCTTTTAATTTCCTCGAAAATTAGACTGAAAAGTGAAAAATGACCTGATTTCAGATAATAAAGTTGGGAATTAAAATAAAATCCTTCATACGGATTTGCATCCTGAACATATGCTTATACAGTATATAACATTTAACAAGAAAGTTTCTAATATTTAACATTCAATGCTTTCTCTACTTACATTGGGAAACCAATCTGGAAAGTGAAAACACGTTTTAGGAAAATAATAGAGCACACAGTTTGATCAGCTGCCCCCACCACCACAACCACCACCGCAACCACCACCACCACCACCACAACCACCGCCACAACCATCTGCGCCTCCAACCAAAAAACAACATCCACCACAACCACCACTTTTACCGCCAGTTTCAACATCTGAAGTTGGACCACCCCCAGAAGTCGTTACAACCATGCCACCGTTTCTAGTGTCATTGCCTTGTGTGGCCGTCGACCCTTTCTCTTGGTTCTTCTTTTCACATACCTTGCAAATGCAAATTAGAAACAAGATTGCAGCGAAAGTCGACACAAAACTAATGAGCAATATAGCATATAATTTCATTTCCTCCAAAGCATACTGAAGTCAGAAATTCTCTGGCATTCTTATAGCCACTGCTTGCTAATTGACTTTAGTATTCAAATAAATTCTATAATGAAAATTTGTAGAGGAAGACTTAATGGCAATGTATGAGAAATTCCCCTGCAAGACCCGTTTCCATATCATAATGTTAATGACGCTATTGACAAATCAGTGCCAGTTCAAGCTACATATTTTAAACCAGTCAGAGTCATGCAAATTCATTGTTTAAAAAAATGCTGTAGACTTCTTTGGGAGATGACCTGAAAATGGGAACATATCTCGAATCTTACAAATAAATTAAAAAACCAACATTAACATCAGCAAATAATTAATTACAAGAACAGACGTTGGACATGGAGAAGATAAAGCATGAAGTCATGGAGTGCATGGTTAAAAAAAAAATTAACTACAAGAACAATTTTTCTTTTTAACAAAACAATAAGAATAGAATTTTAGCAATCATCAAGTGATCAACATGCATTAGGTCCTCCTCCTCCTCCATCCCCATTGCCGCTACCGCAACCACCTCCTCTACCACTTCCAAAAGAAGTGTTGCCACCTAAGATTATGCCGGCACTTGCGCATACGATGAACACCACCGGCTCCAAACCCACTTCTTTTTTATCAGCAAACCGTGCCGAGCGAAAACGCTTGCAGAGGCAAGCCAGAAAGGTGAATATCGCGAACAACGAAAACCAAACTATGAGTATGATTTTCCAAGTTTCCATCTTCATTACAGCTCAACAATACCAATACATCATTCATAGTTTTTCTTTTACGAATTAACGCCTCTCCAAACATAAATGTTAACGTAGTTAAAATGGTAAGATACCAAATTTTTTTATAATTTTAACCTTAACAATTTCTTTTCGGCTGTAAGTTATGTTGACAAATAAAGACACTCGGGGAATTATTGAATTCAATTTATCTTAATTATTATGATAAAAAAAAAAAAGAATTTGGAGTTAAAATTAAAATATTTAAGGAACTTGGCAAGAGAAGATAAAATTAGTGAAATATATCTAATTTAACTATGAAAAGAATTTGTGTATGATCAGAATAAAAAGGATACGTACGTCTGTTTAGAAATAATTTCATATAATGCTTAAAATTTATATATTTTCTGGTTCTTAAGGAAAGCATGAGAGACAGTCTTGGTCGTCTGTAATATTAGCGACGTGGATGGTTTGTTGACTTGGTTCATCTTTTAACGTTGAAGATGAACTAATCTTGAAGGAGCCGATTATCTGATTCTATCTGACTTTAGCCCAAGTCAAAGTGGAACTTTTACTTTGCTATTTAATTATTTGTTTTCATTTCAATTGTTCGTCAATCCAGATAAAGTTTAAGGATATCAATTAAATCATTAATTATCAAGCAGTATGCCAGAAGGGAGAACCAACAATATTTAATATTCTTAAATGCCACAAATAATTCTTATTAATGATAAGATACGTACAGCTCTTTTAAAAAATATTAAATGAATGAACGAATATCTATACATCATACGAGAAAATTAATGTATACAGTATGGTATTTGAAATAACCTAAATATACAAATAGGCAAATGGCCTCATAATCTTCTATGTATCAACCTAAACAAGAAAACCACCATATGTATTGCTCAAATATTGAAATTTTAAAAGACGCCACCGCCTCCTCCACCACCGCCACCACCATCACAACCGCCGCCACTACCAAAACCGCCGCCACCCCCATCAAAACCTCCTCCACCACCACCAAAACCACCGCCACCCCCATCACAACCGCTGCCTCCACCCCCATCAAAACCGCCGTCTCCACCCCCATCAAAACCGCCGTCTCCGCCGCCCCCACCTCCTCCATCTCCACCATCTCCACCATCGTTTATGTCTATGGCTACATCCCCGGCGCCTCCACCTCCGCCATCTCCGGCGTCTCCACCTCCCTGACAAGTTAATCTTTGGAGACAAAACAAAACTAAAACAATAAAGAACATAGCAGAAAGGGCTATAATTGCAGCTTGCCAACTTTCCATTTTCTTTTATTGATGGATAATCCAATAAGTTCTTCAGCGTATTACTCCTTTTATAGTCATCCAAGAGCTTTGAAAAATTCTGCATGTTGAATAACTTTCAAAATCCAATGGGAGGATGATTTTTTTTAATGGTCCAAAACGAAGGTTACCGCGTTATGGCGAGCGAAGCTTAGTCCCCACACAGTTACTTAGATTTCAAATTGCTTCTTGGACTCTAAAATCATTAAATAAGGATAATCACCCATATGTCAATAAAATCATTAAATAATATAATTACCAAAATACCCCTTATTAATGGAGATAAGAGAAAACTTTCTCTAGGAAAACTATCTGCTCATGAGCTAAACTACAGAACCATTAGGTTAAAGAATTACTTATGGATATTAATAAAAAGTGATTTGATAATGATATTGATTTAGAAATTTTGATTTAAGGGGAGGAATTTTAGGTTTGGAAAAAAAAAAAAAAAGGTGAAAGGACAATCTTATCCAAAATTGAAATGTTAAAGATTTCGCTAATAGATATGGTTACTGTAAGTTGCTTAATGTTTGGTATTTTAGTATATTATTTTATTTTATTTTAACCAAGATCAGAGTAGGTTATGTAATTTAAGTATGAAAAGGAAAATTGTATGATTAGAATTAACAAAAAAAAAAAAAAAAAAAAAAGACTATGGTAAGAAGAATTAATAAAAGAATAATACTACATTTACACCACTTCTTTACACCATTTTTATTACATCATGATGTGGCATATGTCACAACCATACAAATTTTGGCATATGCCACAACCATACAAATTCTATTATAATATTAAAAATTCAAAATAATTAAAAATTTGTATAGTTATGACATATGTCACATCATGATGTAATGAAAATGATGTAAAAGAGTGGTGTAAATATAATATTATTCTTAATAAAAAGATACAGCCAACATACATATAATAACATCAATTGAATCTTTAGTCAAGACTCCTCAAGACAAGCCAATAATAAGTAACAACAAATAGATGTTCATGTTCACGTATTAATGGCATGTTATTACTAATCCTTTGAGACTTTAAAACTATCGATCGGATAAGAGTTTCAGTGGCTACACTTATTAGCAACCGAGGAGGGACTCGAACTCAGGATCTCTTCAGTAATGCACCCACGAGTTTCTATCAAACCACTCAACTATTAGAGGTAATTTGTACAAATTTTTCTATCTTATGGTTCATGGTTAATGATGATTCTTTCTGCTTCCAGCCAGCTAAAAAAAGCATCGCATTATACGGCCAAATATTGCAGATTTAACCGCCACGTCCGCCGCTTGCTACTGCCGGCCAACACCATTGAAAGATTTAATTTTTAGACCTCCATGAGCGCCACCATTTATTTGCATGGCTACACCTCGGCCATGGTGGTGACGCCATGATCACCACCTTGGCCATCTTCCTCACCATGCCCTACCTGATTATTACTAAAGCTTCGGAAGTAAGTCACTAATAAAAGTACAATGAACATACTAGACCAAGCTGTGGTTATAGCATGCCAATTAGGTTCCATTTTCTTTAATCTCACTACGTTTATTGTCCAATAACTTTTTTATATCTCAAACTCCTTCTATAGTTAACTAAGAACTTTAAAAATTGCAAAATTTAACACTTGGACAGTGAGTTCTTCACCTCCGGTATACAAAGAACTAAATTAAAGAAGCAAGAATTCTCAGAACACAATGTACACTTTATTTCTCTAATCAAAAGCTTGATATATATGTATACACGCTATGGATAATTGTTTCTACGAACAACTAACTACAAGAACACAATTCTCCGGAATTTTTCGCTCCTCATAGCTGTAGCCTGTAACTAATTTCGCTATACTAACAATTCTTTTCTTCTTGGCGGCATTGGGTGCCAGAGGTCTGCAGGGCTGTTAGGTTGGTTAAGAGAAGACAAACTGGTCGTTAACCAATTGACGCTATTATCATTCCAGTATCTTCTCATTGGTTAAGTTTCTATTTAACTATCTTCTACTTTCAAACATTCCTTTTTCATCTTATCATTTATAAATATATTTAAAGATTAAAATAATAAGACTATAACAATAATATGCAATATTTATCGTCATGTTGTCTATTAGGAGAATATAAAGAGGGGATGATTAAAGGTGCGTTTGGTTTATTATTTTAGATAGGATTTTGGGGATAGTATTGGATTGTTGGATAGGGGAATATTACGAGGTAAACTTTAAAAATTTATAAAAAAGCCCTTAGGTTTACTAATTTAATTAAAGACCCTAATATATAAAATGAGAAAAACACCCCCACCACCTGCAGTGCCAGATTCTGGCCACCACCGTCGGAATCTGGCTAAAAAATTTCGTTATGACACAGACTGGTCGGATTTGTGTCGTAACGCCACGTTATGGCCTTTTCCAGCCAAATCCACCATGGATCTGGTCTGAAAAGGCCAGATCTACGAACTGTTGTGGCTGCGACGGTCGAAAAAGGCTAAAACGACGGCCAAAGATATGTCCGTCGTTGACAGTCAATGATGGTCATTTCTTTGGCCGTCGTTGATGGCAGATCTGACTTTTTTCGATCAGATCTGGCTATTATCGGCTATTTCCGGTGGTTGTGTGACTATTGTGATAGATTCCGGCTACCATCGACGGTGGTTGCCGGAATCTGGCAGGTATTGGTGGGTGGGGGTGTTTTTGTTAGTTTTTAAACTTTTTTTCTGGGGGTATTTATGAAATTAATAAACTTATAGGGCCTCAAAAATTAAAAAATAGACTAATATTTTGGGAAAAACGTGCCAAACAACATTTGAAAAATATGATTGGGAATATGGATAAAAATAATAAGTCAAACGCACCCTAAAATATTATCCTTCAGGTTTGTTGTAAGCACATTTTAGTCTAGTAGATCTTTTCAATAATATTTTGGTCCCTATTAATAACATTTTAGCTCCTAAAGTTTGCTAATAACATGGACAAAAATGTTATTGTCTTATTGACGTCTGATAAGCAGTGTTCTAAAATCTGACTCGGCCTGGTCGGTTGAACCGATTCACTGGGCCAGGTTACCAATTTTCCTATTCACCGAAACCCCTATAAATTAGAACGATGATCGGCGAACAATTAAAAGCTAGGATGTTAGCGGTTTTGAAGAGGAAGGACCGGTGAGTGCAATGGTAGCGAGGGAGGGGATTTTCAGTGAGTGAATCAATCGGAAATCGCAAAACTAAATTGATGGCAACAACGTGCTGTTATCGACGATTGACAAGGAAATTTGGGGAAAGGTGAGATGGGTTTTGGTCAGAAGGTTGAGGGGAGTATTTTCGTGGTGATGAAGAGTGTTTTTATCGCTGGAAAAAAGGCCTTGTTTGCCCTAGTTTGTTGATGTCGACGGTGGTGTTTGGGGTGTTTTTGCAAGATTTCAAACCTATAAGGAATTACATAATTTTTAGGGATATTTTTTGTTAGATTTCAAACTTTTGGACGCTAGTTTGACCTGCCGGTGAAATCGATCAACCCGAGACCCGACCACTTTGTCAGGTTTCACCCCGATTGGTTATTAAAACATTGTTGATAGGACCAAAATATAATAAACAAAAATTTTATGGGACTAAAATTTTAGCCAACTGTCTGAGACGAAATTGTAGTGTGCAATCAAGTAGGATCATTAGGGATTGAATCTGAGGGGTACCCCAACTAATTGTCTTTATTAATTTTAATTAGTGTTTTGCTAACAAATTTCCATTGAAACAACAAAAGTAAACGTACAAGTTTCAAAATTTCTCTCAACTCCTACTTGGATTCATCTTCAAATAATATGAATAAGGAATTAAAACAGCAAGAAGTATAACTTCAACAATTACAAGAATAAATTTAATTTAAAAAATAAAAAATGAGAATAAAATTCTACCATACTTGGGAATGTTGATTTATATTAAAAAAAATACAAGAAGACATTATGTGGACACAGATATATGATTCAACATAAATTGACATCAGGTGTTAGCATGCACTTGCTCCTCCACCACCAGCACCGCCGTCGCCGCCGCCGCCACAGCCCCCTCCTCCTCCAGCTCCACCGAAATCGGTGCCACCAAAGCCTATGCCTGCGCCTGCAGCTGCAGCTGCACCATGATGATGATGATGATGATGAGCACCACCGAAACTACCACCAGCAAATCCTACCCAACGATGACGGCGGCAAAGACAAGCTAAAACTGTGAAGAAAGCGAAAAACGATACAAATATTATGATTGCTATTTTCCAAGTTTCCATATTGATTACCTCTCAACAATAATACCAGAACGTTATATGTTATATCCATGGCCTTTTTCGTTTTATATATAGTTCGACATATTTGATTATTCAAGCAAAAGTGACCAGAACAGGGTTTCAGATAAGTCTTAATTCAACAAAACTTGGTTGTTGATTTCGTTAAGGAATTGAATATTCCTAAGCTTTGACTTGTCACAGTGCTTTGATTACGTGTGTGGATTCCAATTCTCAGGGTCAATTCCTCGAATTGTGACAAATTCTTTTACGTAATCTTAATTAATTCCATTAAATCTTTCTAATAAATCAATGCAGAATTCAATTATTATTAAGATAACTTGAGCCAACTTTTTAGACTGCCCCAGGCCTAAATAGTTGTCAGGGGCTTTGGACATCAAGAATCATAATCAGGTTCTACAGTCATTATAGTCTTAAAATTTATAATAATATTAAATGTAAAAAAAAAAATCTTAAAAAAATGTATATACAAAGTAATACGACAAAAAATAAATAGAAGAGTGAATATGATAAATTTGATTTTTTATATTCAACAATGTTCTTATAGCGACCTGGGGTGTCACCATGCCAAGTTTTGTGTAAAATTAAGCCAGCTTATGTAATCTGTTCCTATGCATAAGATTGCATCTATAAAATTTCTAGGATTGTTCTTCTTTAATTTTACCATAATATTATCCATGATAGATGATTGATTTAATTTAGTAAATTTCATGTTATCTAAGAAATAAAAACCTATACCACTCAAATTCGAGAATAATATACAATTTTATTTTTATTAACTATAAAAAATGTCAAATTCTTGACCATTAATTCGTTATAATCTAATGGTTTGTTGAATTAACATTAAAATGAAATAACTAATGATAGCTTCTCTTAGGTCCATTGGATTAAGATATACATTAAAATGAAATAACTAATGATAGCTTCTCTTAGGTCCATTGGATTAAGATATATAATAAAAAATTAACGAATTTGTGTACAAATCTGCACACAGATTCTAGTGATAAAGTGACATTTTTTTTTTTATTTGAAGTATGAATATAATTCTAATTCATATGAAATAATTTTTTTTTTTTAATATTAAAGCACATTCAAATGAAAAACATACATGTATTTATATAAATGAACCAACAATTTTTACAGGCTATTTACAGCCTGAAAACACGTGTATACAAAAACATGACTGATGGCTCATAATCACGCTGGCTTACCTTCCACCAGCTAATTAAGAAGCACCATATATACATTTGGTCTCTATATTTACAATTTTAACAGCCGCCGCCACCACCATCTCCTCCTCCTCCTCCACCACCGCCGCCACCAAAACCACCTCCATCGCCTGCAGCACCATGATAACCTCCATCATTTATGCTCATCGCAACAGCAGCAGCAGCAGCTCCAGCGACATTATAACCTCCATCATTTGTGCTTATCGCAACACCTCCAGCGCTTCCACTTCCTCCATGGTTTTGAATCCGACGACGACCAAATCCGCCCTTTTTACTAGTTTTTTTGACACAAGAAACAATTAAAACAATAAAGAAAAAACCAAAAAAGAGGATAAATCCGACCAATTTCCAAATTTCCATTTCCTCATCTGTCCATTACGCATGATCCAATGAGCTCCCCATTCTTTTTTAAATATAAGAACGTTGAAAACAGGAATATGTTTCTTGAAACAAACTACTTTATGACTTTCAAAGAAACTGAACGCGGTTCTGGTTAATGGTTTAAAAAAATTGAGGGTTAGCGGAGCTGACTGGTTCTGCTAAATTTACGTGGAATTTAATTTGAGTGCAATTTATTTCTTGTACCTTTTATTGTGTCAATGGTCAACCCATTAAATTTAAAATTATGCTCAAGTTTTATATACCTAATTGACCATTAATTACACTTATTTTAATAATAAGAATTTAAATAGACATTATAAAGTAAAAGAATGCATTGAATACAAGTCCACGGAAGTTTTTACTGTAAAATTATGGCCTTTTGATGCTGATCAATCGTTTTTAATAATAATTAAACCAATTAATAACAATTAATATAATCATTATTGTTAAAGTTTAATCTTTTGGTAACAGATAAAAGAATATGGCAACGTTAACACTAGAAAACTGCTCAAAATACATAGATAATGAGGTAAACTAATGAATCGTGAATCTTAATCTCGCGCGCACAACAAATTAAAACGGCGAACGCCTAATTATCCTCCTCCACCTCCGCCGCCGCATCCTCCACCTCCACCGCCGCATCCTCCACCGCCTCCACCATCTCCACCTCCGCCATCTCCACCTCCGACAGCTTCTGCAGCTTCTGCAGTAGTGGCAGAAATACAGGACTGGAAGAACTCGGTACAGCAGGCACTTAAACAATTTTTGCTATGTTTTTCTCCCTCTTCATCACTATTATAAGCAGAAGCAGGATCGGCTGTTGCCTTCTTCTTATGCTTTAACACGCTAAAGCAGCCCATGAATTATAACTGAGCTTTTTAGAATCTCCCCATGAGCAGGAGCTTCTTATAAATATATATTATCAGGTCAAATATGGTGTTCCAATTTTCGTTTATTATTAATTTTCTCCTTTTGAATTGTCTCTTTTATTTCAAAATTTTGAACGAAACGATATTTCTTTTAATAATTAAGCTGGACATTTATACAAGTCGTAGAAAACCATTCAAAATGGATGAAATGTCATTTTCTTGTAAACAACAAATCGTTCTGTTCTTTCTTAAATTAATAACGCCGTATTTTAATTACGTATCTTTTGTGGTGATAAATAAAAAGATCTCTCCAATTTCTTGATCAATTTCGGAGGCAAAGCAGGGTTCAGATTGGAACCGCGAATTGAGCTCTTAATTTTACTTTGTGCACTCCACACAGAGAATAGAGATGTCAAAATAACCCGTAGGTTTAAAGCCCCACCTTAATGAGTTGGATTTAGATAGTAAAAATTTTGGGTGGGTTGATTTGGATAGTATCATGAACAAATAATTATATATAATATTTAACATTAAAATTATAAGTATTATCTATAAAAGGTTATACTGTTTACTTTTTTTTTTTAAACAAAAGAAAACCCTAACCACCAAAAACTTTATTACTTCAAATATATTTACTGTAATCTTCTTCATTTACCAATCTGAAAATAAATTATGTAATTAAATTGTTTAATTTATAATTACTAACATCATATATTTTATTTAACTTTATAATTGTATGTGTTAAGAAATATGGGTATTTTGTTTTATTCTTCAAAGTAACTCTTGCATAGGGTCACAATATTCTCAAAACGACTTGGTTGACCTGCCGGTGAAATCGATTACCCAGACCCGACCACTTTGTCGGGTTTCCCCCAGATTGGTTATTAAAACATTGCTGATAGGACCAAAATACAATACACAAAATTTTATGGGACTAAAATTTAAGCCAACTGTTAAGACAAATTGTAGTGTGCAATCAAGTAGGATCATTAGGATTGACCTGAGGGGTACCCCAACTAATTGTCTTTATTAATTTTAATTAGTGTTTTTCTAACAAATTTCCATTGAAACAACAAAAGTAAACGTACAAGTTTCAAAATTTCTCTCAACTCCTACTTGGATTCATCTTCAAATAATATGAATAAGGAATTAAAACAGCAAGAAGTACAACTTCAACAATTACAAGAATATTTAATTTAAAAAATAAAAAATGAGAATAAAATTCTACCATACTTGGGAATGTTGATTTATATTAAAAAAAATACAAGAAGACATTATGACACAGATATATGATTCAACATAAATTGACATCAGGTGTTAGCATGCACTTGCTCCTCCACCACCAGCACCGCCGTCGCCGCCGCGCCACAGCCCCCTCCTCCTCCAGCTCCACCGAATCGGTGCCACCAAAGCCTATGCCTGCGCCTGCAGCTGCAGCTGCACCATGATGATGATGATGATGATGAGCACCACCGAAACTACCACCAGCAAATCCTACCCAACGATGACGGCGGCAAAGACAAGCTAAAACTGTGAAGAAAGCGAAAAACGATACATATTATGATTGCTATTTTCCAAGTTTCCATATGATTACCTCTCAACAAATACCAGAACGTTATATGTTATATCCATGGCCTTTTTCGTTTTATATATAGTTCGACTATTTGATTATTCAAGCAAAAGTACCAAACAGGTTTCAGATAAGTTCTTAATTCAACAAAACTTGGTTGTTGATTTCGTTAAGGAATTGAATATTCCTAAGCTTTGACTTGTCACATGCTTTGATTACGTGTGTGGATTCCAATTCTCAGGTCAATTCCTCGAATTGTGACAAATTCTTTTACGTAATCTATAATTCCATTAAATCTTTCTAATAAATCAATGCAGAATTCATTATTATTAAGATAACTTGAGCCACTTTTTAGACTGCCCCAGGCCTAAATAGTTGTCAGGGCTTTGGACATCAAGAATCATAATCGGTTCTACAGTCATTATAGTCTTAAATTTATAATAATATTAAATGTAAAAAAAAATCTTAAAAAATGTATATACAAGTAATACGACAAAAAATAAATAGAAGAGTGAATATTAAAATTTGATTTTTTATATTCAACAATGTTCTTATAGCGACCTGGGTGTCACCCATGCAAGTTTTGTGTAAAATTAAGCCAGCTTATGTAATCTGTTCCTATGCATAGATTGCATCTATAAATTTCTAGGATTGTTCTTCTTTAATTTTACCATAATATTATCCATGATAGATGATTGATTTAATTTAGTAAATTTCATGTTATCTAAGAAATAAAAACCTATACCACTCAAATTCGAGAATAATATACAATTTTATTTTTATTACTATAAAAAATGTCAAATTCTTGACCATAAATCGTATAATCTAATGGTTTGTCGACGATGGTGTTTGGGGTTTTTTTGCAAGATTTCAAACCTATAAGGAATTACATAGTTTTTAGGGATATTTTTTGTTGGATTTCAAACTTTTGGATGCTAGTTTGACCCAAGGCCGGCTCAAGGGGTAGGCAGGTGAGGCACCTGCCTAGGGCCTCCCAAAAATAGGGTAAAAAAGGGCCCAATTTTTTTATAATTTTTTTTAATATATTGCAAAAATGAAAATAATCTATAATTTCTTATTCAGGTTGCCCTAAGGGGCCCCCCCCAAAAAAAAAAAAAAAGTAAAAAAGACTCAAATTTATTATAAACTTTATACATATATTCTCACCCAAAGTTTGACGAAATAGCAACTTTGTACTTCTAGTTTTATATATTCCAATTTATACTCCTAAATTAACACATTGAATTTCCTTTAACAATGAAAGGCTAAAATGGTCATTTACATGTCTCAAATTACTCAGCCCCAATTCAATCCAAAAATTCGATATTCACATAAATCATCTTCACCCCTCTTTCGCCGCCGGTCGTTTGGAGCTGATTCCAGTCGATTTTCTCACCAAAGCGCCCAGAATCATCACTTTATCATTTCCCAAGTGTTTTCCCACCTTGATAGCCCTTCATTTGACCAATTTTTGACAAATCTCACAACCCAACTCCACCACCCGCGACAACCATTTTCGATCTTTTCGGCAAGCAGGGCCGGCTCAAGGGGTAGGCAGGTGAGGGCCTCCCAAAAATAGGGTAAAAAAGGGCCCAATTTTTTTATAATTTTTTTTTGAATATATTACAAAAATGAAAATAATCTATAATTTCTTATTCAGACACAAAAAAAAAAATAAAATAAAAAAAAAATAAAAAAAGTAAAAAGGACTCAAATTTATTATAAACTTTATACATATATTCTCACCCAAAGTTTGACGAAATAGCAAATTTGTACCTCTAGTTTTACATATTCCAATTTATACCCCTAAATTAACACATTGAATTTCCTTTAACAATGAAAGGTTAAAATGGTCATTTACATGTCTCAAATTACTCACCCCCAATTCAATCCCAAAATTCGATATTCACATAAATCATCTCCACCCCTCTTTTGCCACCGGTCATTTGGAGTTGATTCCAGCCGATTTTCTCGCCAAAGCGACCAGAATCATCACTTTATCATTTCCCAAGTGTTTTCCCACCTTGATAGCCCTTCATTTGACCAATTTTTGACAAATCTCGCAACCCAACTCCACCACGTGTGACAACCATTTCCAGTCTTTTCAGCAAGTACTCAGCGTTGTTGGCTTTCCCCGACACCACCATCTTCCTCCCTTGAGCCCTCTCACCAAAACCCCTATCATACCTCATCTGTTTACTCTGCCAATCGCCGACCACCGATACCTTTTGGGCCGCGACTTCTCAAACCTTTTCAGGTCAATCTTGGCATCGGAAATCACCCATTTCGCCACCCATCGCTTCTCCAATATCTGCTCTCTAAAACCCCCCACCAACCTGACCCTATTAGCCCATCGGTAGTCGTCCACTCTCCTAGTGATTTTGCATCTCAAAAGGCAAGAAAAATAAATTTGAAATAATTTTTTTAATATATGCTTATATTATTAGAGACCTTCAAAGTAACTCTTGCATAGGGTCACAAATATTCTCAAAACGGACTTGGTTTGACCTGCCGGTGAAATCGATTAACCGAGACCCGAC